TGTCCCGTGGGAGGCTAAGAAGAAGTCAGGAGAGAGGGCTCACGGAGGGCCTCCCACGGGCTTGAACCGCTCGCGGCTTGAGCCAAAATGGCTTGAGCCAAAATGGCTCTCTCTCTCTCTCTCTCTCTCTTGCTTGCTTGCTTGCTTGCGGGGCGTCTGGGGTTGGGCCCCTGCGCTAGCGCGCTACGCCATTGTTCGAGTCCGGATAGTCGGCGTGAAACTACAGGACGATTTCCAGCACGCTTAAGGAGAGTCGGCGTGAAGCTACAGGACGATTTCCAGCACGCTTAAGGTCCCCTCCTGCCCTGAGGGCTTATGACACAGATGTCCCCGTCATTGCTCTCCCTCTCTCTCTCTGCTTCTTCTTTCTGTCTCTCTACCGGGCGGGACACAGGGAGCGTCCAGCCCGCTCTCTCTCCTACAGGCCGTGAGGCGAAGGCAGCGGTCCAGCTACCCCCCGCGCGCTTTGAGTTCGTCTTGGGGTCTCGGTCATGGCATCGCTCTCTTTTCTCTGACTGGACTTGACTAAACACACACTGCTGAGCGGCAATCACATCTCGCTGACACATCTTGCATTTTTGCCTCGGCTTCTGCACACGCAGACCTGATAAGTTGGGGTAGGAAGCCTTCGCCGGCACTCCTGGCAGAGGCAGAGTCGAAGGACGCGCGCCGTTGTGCCCCGCTCCGCCCCCCGCTCTCCTGTCCAACGTCCGCCACTCGGACTCGCCTCGCTCGCATTGCTTGCCGCGCCTGCCAGGATGAGGCTACCGCCATGGGCCACGGGACTCTCTTGAGCTCGGGCCGCTGCTCTGCGGGCTCTCAGGGGACCTGCGACGCAGACGGAGCAGGAGCGCGCCGTGCTGCCACGAAGAGTCAGATCTCACAAGCGGCTCCTCCGCCGGCGGCTCGAAAGCGACTCGAAGGGGCTCGTGGACCCTGGCCTCGGCAGACGAAGGGGCTCGAGTCTTCCAGCTCGTTCTCATCAGCACGTTTCGTCGATCCGCCTCCGGCGGATTCGCTGCTGCCTCGGGACAAGCAGTGTGGCGCGCCCGGCATGGGCATCAACTCATTCAAGCCGAGGCACTTCTCTCGAATTCGCAGCTTCCTCCAGCTCGGACCTTGTAAGAGTTGCAGCAATGACAGCCCATCAGCACCAGGTTTTTTGAGGGGCGGGCTTCGCGATCTACCCCCATCGAGCCCGTCCTCCCAGGTCGCAGCGGAGCTAAGGCTCTGCACCTGGCCTTTCGTAGGTCCTCTCCGGACCGCTCGAGCTGCAATGGCAAAGACGGTAGCGGTAGGCCCTGGCCGCGGCCCTCCTCATCCGAAATGCAGGCCGAGCATGGCAGAGCTGTGCCTGCGACTGATCAGGAGCGCCCACCTCCTCTTCCGATCGATCAGCCTGCGAAACGAACGAAAAAAACGTTTCTGGCTCCATCTCACGAACTTTGCTCTCCTGAACTCGTCGCAGGTTTAAGGGGACACTATTTCGCGCATCAAGACCTGGTCTACGTACAGTTTAGAACAGCTCATAGCCAAGTGCCTGCTTCAAGGGAGAGGTTGCCGTGGCAGTTGCATCGGCTGGCTCCTCGTGGCATGGACTGGGGAGACACACATCAGGAGCCATTGATGCCCCTCCTTGAATGGAGAGGCTTCCCTAGCTTCCGTAGGTGATGCGTCCGCATCGCCTGGGTCCTCGCCGCAGGTTTAAGGGGACACTATTTCG